GATACTGACATTCACCATTTGAATCACCATACAGCAAACAACTACTCCAACCATGATTTCTGGGTAATTGGTGGTAGGACAGGTCAAGGATATGTCACTACTGTCAGAAACATTCTGTTAAATGGACGGAAGTTCAGAGATGGCATTGCATTCAAGTCTGATACATGCAATAAATTAACAAATAATAGTTTTTATAGCAAAATATGGCCACGAATCGTCGTATTAAGGCGAGTATTTTGACAATAGTCTTGCAGCATAGTTTCTATTAGAAAAGGTTCCGTTGTATACTGTCACGTTAAAAGTACACCACTTCTCTTTGCATGCTTTCCAATAACCATGTAGCGCACGATGCTGACGGTTTCCCCGAGTCTCCATTTCAACAGCCCGATCGCACGTGAATCATTATGTCCTCGTGGAATAGCATGGATACCCGTATCCTTATCCACCCGCTTGAGGTATGCAACGGATGAACTGATATGTCGTGGATGCAATTTGTGTACACGTGACTTGTGCCATTTTTTCAGACGGAGACCCTTCTTAGACATTCAGTCTTGGAAATTTCACGTTCCCGACGGGAACATATATTTACGATCTGAGTAAATGAATATTTTGCGTCTGAAAGAACTGTTACATAACATTCTTAAAAGCGACAACTTCTGTCACGTCAAAATGTCAAAATATAGTTTTGATACAATCTGTTCTAATATGACTTTATATTGGATGTGTTTGATCTGCTTATAAAAATAGTTCTGAAACGACATACTCAGACCTCTGTACTATATCATGTCATATCTTATCATAACTTACTGATTTCCATGCATCAAGACACCTTTGCTGTGTCATACCTTGTAGTGGGTTACGTTGAATTACCCAGCTTGCCCTGTCATGCCTGTTAGTTTCTCGTTCAAAGCAACTCAGTTTTCACGAAACGAAACTCTGCTATCGTCTTTTGGTCTTGGCTTAAGGTCGCATGCAACAAGACTTGCTGTTTCATGTCTAATAGTGAATATTACATCTTAGACTCTAGATAGCTTTTGCTAAGAAGAATTTTCAGTTTGTGTTAACATTACGAGAAAATGTTATACACTAACTTAAATGAGAAGGAAGCTTGCTCTGTCCTAATATTACCATGCAAATACTACCATTTAGAGAGAGTAGAATACCATACAGACACTACATATCTGGAGTCAGTAGAATACTTTGACCGCTGTTAACATTACTGTATAGATACTATACGATATATCTCGTAAATATAAGTAAGTTAATTTTCTTCGTGCATTCCCCGGTGGGTCAGCGGTAAGTATATTGCATTAAAACACTAAAATCCATGGTTCGATTACTCGCGGTGCACAAAGCGCGAATAGCTAATGTTGAGCTTTACCTAGTGGGCTAAAATACAACGACAACAATGGGACCGGTGCCTAATTCTGGTTTCTTGTGTCATTAGTGGATGAGAATGGTGACACATTGGCCCTGGATTTGATTCTAGTTCATCGTAGGTTAACCTTCAGTTAGCCGTTGACACCCATTATAAAAGCTTGGTTATAAGTATCTTGCCCAACGACCTAATAAAATGATGCGAGTAAGCCTCGAACTTTCGACTAACAGACCAGAACATTAATTCTTAAGCACAGTATATTCTGTGGTAGAATGGATTTTGGTTTTTGTGTGAAATTACCATGAACATACTTCATTTATTTAAGCAAGTAGAATATTTGGACCTGCGTTAATATCACCATTCAGACAATATACAATATCTTCAATAAGTAGGATACTTGTATATGCACACACAGTACAATATTTTGAGTAAAATATACACTACCATTTATATAGATTAAACTTAATACTTAATTTATGTTAACGTTACCATACTTATACAAAATATTGAGTAAACTATTTGGAACTATTTTAACATTATTCAGATACTATACATCATATCTTGAGTGAGTAAGATACATCTCTATTGACATTGTTATACCGATACAATATCTGAAGTAAAATGCTTTGATCTGTTTTATCATTGCCATTAAGACAACCTATAATATTTTGGATTCATATTAACGCTACAATACAGATACAATAAAGTATACCTTGAATGAGATAAAAACCTGGTTCTTTGTGAATATTACTATGCAGATACTGCAGTCACTTCAGTTAGTAGTATATTTGCATCTATGTTAAGATTACCAATCAGATTATCCCCGCAACACTATAAATGACTTGGATAAGCATATTTTCAGATAGTCTAAGAGAAATGGTGAAAAGCAGAGACATTGCAGCGTTCAAAAGAGGCATGCTAGTGGGTGCATGTCTAGCAGGGGCCAAAGTGACCAAGACAGTTTCGTTGGTAGACTGCTCCAAGACAATAGCAAAAGGTGAATATAATGTCTGCTTTGAGAAGAATTTTGGCCGCACATATGTAGTAACAGAGAAGGAAGTCGATTAGACAGGATGGTAAATTTCAATTCATCAAAACATAGACTAACTGACAGACATTCAGTGCAGTGCAGTGCATACCTATACCCAGTTTTACCTTGTGAAAAAAGTAGGGTAAGAAACACAAAAAAATAGGACTAATGAGGACTAGAGATAAATAATACAGTCAACGAATCATGCTTTATCCATTTTTGCACGGATGAGAAAGAACAGATTTGAGGACAGTCACACAAATCACTAGACCCCTTTTATGTGATAACAACTGTTCAGACCCTTGGTGATGGAGTTATGGAATGGTGCATGCTTTCCTAGTATACTCCCATGGTTCCTTTAGATGGGAAAAGCAAATCACAGTTTACCTCAACATTATATGTGATCAAGTGAACTTAACGATGCTTTATGTATACCCAATGGAAACAGCTACTTCAATAACGGCAATGCTCCCATACCATGTACAAATTGTACTAATATGGTTTGAGTAACATGACGGAGACTTCGGTCATCTTCAATGGCCACGCCATACACAGGGTCTTAATCTAATTGAGAATTTTTGTAGTTAGATAAAAAGATATATTCGGTATAACGATTATCTCTTGTTTCATGAATTGTTTACAATATTAATGACTGAATGGGGAAAAAATTCCTCAGAGCACTTTCTAGCATCTTATAGACACGTCGTATCATGGCTGTTATTTTGGCAGGAGGTGGCCATTCTGGTAATGGTATAGGTCCGAATAAAGTGCTG